ATACATATCCCAGCAATACCTTAAATCCATTAGGTTATGGATATCAATACAACTCCACCCCCGCTCAGATGAATAGCTCATACGGCGGCTTCAACATGCCTTCATCAGCTGGAATATCTCCAATGCGTAAGTGCAGCTTCGTGAAATTCTCTAGTAGCTCGAATTTTTAAAGCTTCTCGATCATCGTCCTTATCGGTGCCAACTTCATTATCTAGAGGAGGTCGTAGTTATCCTAATCAACAAGATGAAGTCCATCTTACTGATGAAGAATTCGTAAGTCTTCATATTCCTCCAACCTATTTTCATCATGCGCTTTCAGAAAAAGATCGAACGTGAGGGTGGGTATGGAAAGAGTAAACCTCCATATTCCTACATCTCTTTGATTACTAAGGCTATTCAAATGTCTGATAACAAGATGTTAACATTGAATGAAATCTACCAATTCATTATGAAAAGATTTCCCTATTACGAGACCAACCAGCAACGTTGGCAGAACTCTATTAGACACTCACTGTCCTTCAATGACTGCTTTGTCAAAGTGCCAAGGTATGGTTAGATAATCATTTTTGCTGACTAAGCTTCTTGTCTTAGAACTCCTGATAAACCTGGAAAAGGTTCTTTCTGGACTTTACACCCTCTCTGTGGAGATATGTTCGAAAATGGATGTCATTTACGCCGTCAAAAGAGGTTCAAGGTTAGGGAACGAGAGCCAAGTCGCAAGAAGGTTTGTTGTTCATTTTTTTCTTTCCATCACAAAAAATAAAAAAAAGTTTTATGAGAAACTCGAAAGTTGACAAACTATCATTCAATCGATTTCAGAAGAACCAATCATCTCAGAATCAACAAAACCAACAATCAGCTAATCAGACTGCTGGACAGTCAGTTGATTCATCCGGAGCTAATTCTGAGCAGAGCTTGAGTGACCAATCGTTAGTAAGCACTACACCAACTTCCGTTAGTGTCACATCGGTTGGAAGTCACAAAGCTGATGATATTTATTCAATGAAAATGGAGTCAGACAAGATATCAGAGGATTATTCTCAAATATCTGTCCAGGTAAGGAAAGCTGTCATCATGTTCATAC